TACATAAAGTGATCTATCTCCTTATTCATTCGTTTATTTTAATCGTCATAGCTTAATACACATCACGTGATCTAACACGTATCTAGGGCTAATGATGTTATATTTTCATTACCGTAAAGATATGAAATATGTTTCAACTTGTTGAGGGTGTGGGTCTGGATCGGGGTTTTCATTAACCACACTCATACCCACGCTCTCAAGACTCATCTACTGAATGAGAGAATAGTGACAAATAGTGAGAAATAAAGAAAAATATGTAGCTTTACTTTTCTTTTCAAATTTATTTATTTTTACACACACACTCGCTTCTTTCTGACATATGACTATATCCTGTTGTTTTAACAAATTCCCTGCTGCCATTTAACAATAAAACGATGTATGAGAAAGAAAAGTAACATTCACTGAAGGAATCATATTTTTATTTCTATCCCATTTCAATGATAAAATATTGGTGGTATATTGAATTACTGAAGTAATTTCATAGATAAGGCCAAAAATGTTGGAAAGAATAAACACAAAACGAAATCATTTCGTTCTATCGCAAACGTTGTTAAGAAATTTATTTGTACTTATCTATTTCTTGCTCTTCACAACAGTATTTTAAAAAGGAACTAGTTGAAACAAGCTAAAAAAGATTGGAAAAATACGTCACTGCTATTACAAATAGAAGTGGTGGGTCTTTTTATCATTTACCAAAAACAACAACTATTGTTAAGCTTATATTCAACATCAAATTATAAAAAGGATCAAATGAGTGGATCAGAATCCAATCCAAAAGCGTCTGTATCATTAAACACGATTATATCACCATCGAATGCTATACGACAACACCGACGAATGGTTCGAAATTATTCACTTCTCTGTTTAGATGAGTGTATGGGTGAAACGAACCAAGAATATCAAGGTATTTTGACACAATTAAAAGCCAATACTGACAATGTCAATATCGTTAAGCAGCGAGACGAATGTATCGACTTTCTTACAGATGCTGAAGAAAACATCAAGTCTTTTCTGGTTGTCGAGAATGCTACGGTTCAACAAATAATGCCCCTGATTGATGATATTCCTCAACTGCATAGTGTTTATATCTTCAGTAACATTAAATCTCAACATGAAGAATGGACAACAAAATGGCAAAAAATCAAGAGCGTTCATACCAGCATCGATGACTTATGCCAATCATTAAAAATCGGTGTCAGGCAGTTCAACCAAGATTCGATAGCCATGAGTTTTCTCACGGTAGATGAAATGGCTTCAACTGACAATTTAAATCAGTTGGAGCCAACATTTATGTACACCCAGCTATTCAAAGAAATACTTCTTGATATGAAACACGACGAACAGGAGATCAAACAGTTTATTAGTTATTGTCGACATAATGACTGCGGATCGTCAAAGATTATTGATGAATTTGAGAAAAAATACCGAGCTCAATCAGCTATTTGGTGGTACACTTGCCCATCATTTATCTATTCTATGCTTAACGATGGTCTTCGCTCTATGCAAGGTGATATTATTATTAATATGGGTTTTTTCATTCATGACCTTCACCAACAAATTCAACAACTACACCAACAACAACTCAGTAGTTATCAGGATAAACCATTCATAGTTTACCGGGGACAAGGTCTCACGAAATCGGATTTTGAAAAACTTCAGAAAACAAAGGGTGGACTAATGTCATTTAACAATTTCTTGTCCACCAGTACAGATAAGGAACTGTCTCTCGGTTTTTCTCAAGTTGCTTTAACAGAACCAAATAACGTTGGCATTCTCTTTACAATGTGTATTAATCCTTGTATAAAATCAGTACCATTTGCCACTATCAAAGAACAGAGTTATTTTAAGGAGGAAGAAGAAATTCTCTTTTCAATGCACACTGTTTTTCGGGTAGGTGTGATTGAACAAATGGATAATAAGAATCAACTTTATCAAGTTGAGTTACAATTAACGTCGGACGATGATCAACAACAACGAGTACTTACTGATCGGATGCGAGAAGAGGCTGCTGGTAATACAGATTGGCAAAGATTGGGTAGATTATTGTGTAGAATTGGTCAATTTAATAAAGCTGAAGAACTTTATAACGTATTACTTGACCAAACATCTGATGAGGGCGAAAAAGCTATTTATTATCATCAACTGGGATCTGTGCATTCAAATCAAGGTGATTATGAAAAGGCTATTTGCTATTACGAACAAGGACTTGAAATTCAACAAAAAACTCTTCCTTCAGATCATCGTGATTTGGCTATTTCAAACAACAGTATCGGTTTGGTGTATTATGACATGGGAAAGTATTCGGAAGCACTTTCTTATTATGAAAAAGCACGTGAAATTCGACAAAAAACTCTTCCTTCAGATCTACTTGATTTGGCTACTTTGTACAACAACATCGGTTGCGCGTATAACAACATTGGAGAGTACTCGAAAGCACTTCCATACCACAGAAAAGCACTTAAAATTCGAGAAAAATTTCTTCCTGCAAATCATCCTAAATTGGCTATTTCACACAACAACATCGGATTGGTGTACGCGAACATGGGAGAATATTCGAAAGCACTTTCATCTCACGAAAAAGCACTTGAAATTTATCAAAAAACTCTTCCTTCAAATCATCCTTTATTGGCTACTTCATACAACAACATTGGTTTGATGTATGACAACATAGGAGAGTACTCGAAAGCACTTTCATCTCACGAAAAAGCACTTGAAATTCGAGAAAAATCTCTTCCTTCAAACCATCCACATTTGGCTATTTCATACGGTAACATCGGTAGTGTTTATTGCAGCATGGGAGACTATTCGAAAGCACTTTCATCTCACGAAAAAGCACTTGCAATTCGAGAAAAATCTCTTTCTTCAGATCATCCTGATATAGCTATTTCATACGGCAACATCGGTTTGGTGTATTCCATGATGGAAAAGTATTCGGAAGCACTTTCATTTCACGAAAAAGCGCTTGAAATTCAACAAAAAGCTCTTCCTTCAAATCATCCTGATTTGGCTACTTCATACAGCAACATCGGCTTGGTGTATAACAACATGGGAGAGTACTCGAAAGCACTTTCATTTCATGAAAAAGCATTTGAAATTCGCCAAAAAACTCTTCCTTCAAATCATCCTGATTTAGCTACTTTGTACAACAACATCGGCTTGGTGTATTACAACATGGAAGAGCACTCGAAAGCGCTTTCATTTTACGAAAAATCACTTGAAATTAAACAAAAAGCTCTTCCTTTAAATCATCCTGATTTGGCTTGTTCATACAATAATATCGCTCGTTTATATTGCAATATGAGAGACTATTCGAAAGCATTTTCATGTTATGAACATGCTCTGCGCATAGTAAAACATGCATTGCCTCCAACTCATCCTCATGTCAAAAGTGTGCAAGATAGTATTGACGCTGTCAAAAAGATATTATAAAAAATAGTTAATAAATAAATAAAAGAATATTCTGTTCACTTTTTTTTGAATTAATTCTAGTTTGTAATGGCCCGAACGCGAATATAGAGAACACCTTTGTAAATAATAAAAACGTAATGGATAAAGCCCACTGCTAAAGTATTATACATACATATGTATGTGTATAAATGGCCACCTCAGACATATTTGCATTTCCAGTTCTTGACGGGAGTGTTCCTTGTAATAAAAAAAAAATAACTTATATAGAAATGAATTGTAATAGGGTTCAACGAGAGGGCTCGTATGATGAAGAAAAAACTAAGAAAACTGCGATATATATGTATATATATATATATGGATATGTTTGCAATATTTTGTTTTGAAAAGCAAATGCAATAAAAAAGACTGAAGGGATAGACAAAAAAAATAAGAGTAATAATGTTTATACTATATCAACTAGAGATAAGTTCGATTAGTATAGTGATACAAGTAAATATTCGTAATGTCGAGATCGATATACATCCTGAAGAACTAATCAAAATCAAGATAAGATTAATCTTGTTCCAGAATGATGCAAATTAATTTAAAATACTAAACTTAGCTATTTAGACCGCAACCATGAGGGTGAGTATTGAATTAACTAACTGAATTGTATTTTCAATAAGTATTCAGATTCTGATTAAGTCTACACAACTAGTAGAGTTTATTGAGTTAACTATTTTCCTCTATGACCTACATGATTTGGATAAATTTATCTAATACATTATTTCAATTTTTATTAGATCTAACATAAACAATGGACTTCGAAAGTAATTACTAATATATTTATCATACTTCAAAAAACTTTGTTTTCTGTTTCTACGAATAGGATTAAGAGTGATCAAACTCATTTGTATTAAATTTTTTTTGAACAATAATTATCTATTATAAGAATTGATGACGTTACAATAAAATGTATTTTATACCGTTTTTACATATAAGATCACATGTATATTTTTTCTTGAAAGACAACTAAATTACATGCTGAAAAAAGTGAACATGACGCAATGTCTTCTCACTATTAATTATTTACATTATCTAATCATGACTTCATAGTTAATACTTTCAAACTATTTCATATAGATAACATTTCTATATGAGATGAATATTTCGTATTAGACAATAACTTAATTAGAATTACAAGTTAAAAATAATATGCAATTTAAAAGTTGTTTTTTATATATTTGCATAATTATATTATATAGTTAATTCTACAGGCTGCATTATTTGTCGTCATTTACGTAATAAACTACATTGTTCTTTTAGATTATTAACATAATAATCAAACTAAATAAGAAAATTTCTTCTTCTTTTTCTTTGCATGATCTCGAAATCTATCTGGTTCTTTTTACGATGCACTCACTGCGTAGATTAATTATACTTTAGCTAAGTCATTCAGAGGACCAACTAAGATAAAAAACATAGTTAGATTCTATTCATGGGTTTTCTTGATAATTAAAATTAATAAGCATCCTTGTAAGAATAATCAGAAGAAATGCAAGATTAGATTTTGAAAGTATTAACAGTCATCACTCGATGAATGAAAATAATAATAAAATGAAATAGTAAATATTAATTAAGACAAACTGATCAATTTATTATAGAAATAGTGTTCAAAAATCCCTTTCTATGTTAGTGATGAAGTAATAACAAATTTGAATAACAGTAAGATTTTTTTAAATGAACAATATGACTTTATATCATAAACTTCTTTGAATTGATATACCCTATTTATCGTATTATTTTAAAGAAATCGTTAAAATGTAAACTAACATTTATCATCAAGGAATAAATTAAATTAAATAAAGGAACAAAAGAAAATCTCTTCTACCAAAGATATATATATCCGGCTATTATAAAACGACATCATTCCTGAGGATATTATTCATAATTATATTGAGTGACAAATACTTATCAACTCTGTATTTGTTTAATAAAAATCTTTCTTTTATTGTTGCATCTAATTTATATAAAGTATCTTCTGCTAATACGTTTTAGAAGAGCTGAAAATCTTTTGAACTTATCAATAAGATACTTTTTTCTCAATAGTATTTACATCTGAGTCTATAATAGGCATTTTGTAACAGAACTGCTATTACTATAAATTTTATATCCTTTTATTGATCTTTATTAGTATCTAAAATTTCTTATATTTAAACGGAAAATTTAAATTAAGTTTCAAAATAGGTACACAAAGAAGATGAAAAAAACGTGAGATTGTTATAAATAGACATTCGCATTTGTGATCGATCGGATTTAACATGTACTATTCGTTACTACTCCTCTATTTAATTCTTGTTTTTATTTAACAAACCTTGCCTTAAAGAATTCATTAGATGAAACATAATAATCTAAATGTACCTAAAACTGATAAATCACTATTTTTATTTCTTTGTAATTCAATAACATTCATCAAAACAGTTTCATCATTAAAAATGCAATAAAATTAAATGATTTTTACAATAAGATTTAATTAACACTGATATAGTCGTATAATATGATATATAACTATAAAACTTCTATTACAAATAAAGTGGTTTATTCGTAAAAATTTACGGCTAATTTTTCATGTTATTTGTATTTTAATTATCTCGAAATGTGACAAAGCAAAGTTCATAGTCAAAATCATGTCTTTGTGATGTCCCTTGTAACGAACTAAATCTTCTGTTGAAAATCGAAAAACGAATGATATCAGTTCGATCTTGATATATACGTCTTTCTTATTTCAAAACAATGACTAATTCACATACTTCGTATACATGATCTCGATCACGTGATACTCTAATTTCTTTTTTTTTCATTTAATTTATTAAAAAAAGAAAACATCATAGCCAACCACTCTGAA